CTTCCTTCCTTCCTTCCTTCCTTCCTTTCTTTCTTTCTTTCTTTCTTTCTTTCTTTCTTTCTTTCTTTCTTTCTTTCTTTCTTTCTTCTTTTCTTTCTCCCCTCCTTTCTTTTCTTCCTTTCTTTCTTTTTTGTACCCATTCTGGGGCTTGAACTCGGCCTGAGCACTATCTTTGAGCTTCATTTTGTTCAGAGATAGCCTTCTACTAATTGGGCCACAGTTCTACTTCCAGCTTTTTCTGAGTAGTTTCTTGAAGATAAGAGTCTCATGGGGGCTGTGAATGTGGCTTAGTGGTAGAGTGCTTGCCTAGCATACATGAAGCCCTGGGCTCAATTCTTCAGTACCAGATAAACAGAAAAAGCCAGAAATGGTGCTGTGGCTCAAGTGTTAGAGTGCTAATTTTGAGCAAAAGCAGATCAGGGACAGAGCCCAGGGCCTGAGTTCAAGCCCCAGGACTAGTGGGAAAAAAAGAGTCTCATGAACTTTCTTGCCCAGAGTGGCTTTGAACCATAATCCTCAGATTTCACACTCCTGAAAAGCTAGGACTACAGGCATGAGCCACTGGTGCCTGGCTTTAGTGTTGTCTTTTTAACACAATGAATATTGGTAATTTTCTTAACAAATATTAATTGTACATATTTATGAGTATAGGATTCAATTTGAATACATATACTTCCTGCGTATTGATCAAATCTTGACAACTGGCAGGAGTTCCATATCAAGTAATTTTTATTTCATGTTGTTGGAAACTTGTAAACTTTTCTCACTTGGAAATAGTTGGGTCATTACTTTTCTGTTCTACAGAAAATGAGAAGTTTGTTTCTTCTCAACAACTTCCTCCTGTACTTGCTATTTCATCTCTATTTGTACACTTTCCTTTGAGAAATGTGTAAATAATTCATTTATTCATTTTTTAAATTATCTTTAAGTAGTTGTACAAGGGGCTTCAATTCAACCAGTTAATGTATGAGTGCAATACAACTTGATCAATGCCATGCCTTCTATCATTCTCCCTCATCTCTCCCAACCACTTATCCCCTCAAATCTTCACATTATATATATTGAACATTATCACTGTATTGTCCCACACTTCCTCTCTCTACTTCTATGCTCATCCTCCCCATCCTTGGCCCTCCATCCTCCCCTAACAAAACAGGTTCCAGCTCCCTAGTTCTCATTTTATTAAACTATAAGATTTTTGTTCAAAGGAGTTACACCCTGAAACTTTCCCTGCATAGATCATATTTTAGTTAAGCCACATGTGGAAAAGGCTTTGCACTTTGTTCCCCAGAGGGTGATGTCAAGACTGAACCCATGACATGAACATAAAAGAACATGATTTCAGAGAGAGGGACTCCCCCAAAGAAGCCAGTGGTCACATAGATCAGGACATTATCAGGGAAGGCACCTGAGCACCTGTTCTTCAGAAGCTGAATAATCTAGGCAAGATCACTGAAGTGGGGGATCCCCACGCTTATGCAAAAGGACAGTTGTGACACCATCAGACAGTGCAACAGGGCATGGTGATGGACAGGCAGAACACAATCAGCAGAACAGAGACATGGAGTCATGATGGCTGTGTATCTAAGTGGATAGCATAAGGCCATGCAATGATCATAGGCCATGATGGAGAGCAGGAATTTCTCCATTCCCACAAAAGTCAGTACAGAATGCAACTGAGTATTGCAGCCAGCCTAACAGATGGCTTGGTTATGCCTCTGGGCACCATGCAGGTGCTGAAACCAATGTCATTGAAGGAGAGGTTGGAGAGGAGGAAATACATTGGGGTATATGGCCAAGATGATGAGCAGATTTCTGAGCAGGGTGATCTGATACATGGACAGGAACAGCCCAAACAGGACAGGTTGTCATTTTGGATCCTCTTAGAGGCCCAGGAGGAGGAATTTTATGACACCTGATAATAAATTATGTAGTTCCATGTGGCCAGAACACCTTTATGAAAGACAAATGTTGAAGGAAACAATTGAGTATGAGAGGCAAGCAGGAATGTGTCTGTGTTGTGATCAAGGAACACAAAATAAATTTAGATTTGCACAGTACAATGGACTGTGTGTCCTAAAAACTTTCACAAGTGGGGAGGTGTGGTTTGATGGTATAGATATTTTTTTAAATAATGTTTTCTTGTAAAAATCCTGTACAGAGAGGTTACAGTTACATCAGTAAGGTAATGAGTACATTTCTTGTCAAACATTGTTACCCCCTCCTTTTTTTCCAGCTATCCTTTTCCTCCCCTATCTGCTCCACTCCTCCCCTAAAAGTTGTAAAGTTCACTTCCAACATAATGTCTTGTGAGTATCATTGTTGCAATGGGTCATCCTGTGTTCTTGTTTCTGCATTTATATCCCTGTTGTCACTGTATTTGATCTTGGTACCTTGCATCCAGTATAACCTTTTTTAAAAAGGAGAATCTACAGCCAGCCACTAGTGGCTCAGGCCTGTGATCCAAGTTATTCAGGAGGCTGAGTTCTGAGGATTGTGCTTCAAATCCAGCCCACCCAGGAAAGTTTATTAGACTCCTATCTCCAATTAACCACCAAAAAACCAAAAGTGGGGCTGTGGCACAAGTGGTAGAGCACAAGCTTTAAGCAATAAAGCTCAGGGACAGCACCCCCACTCTGAATTGAAAATCCAGGTTTGGTGTATGCATGTGTGTGTGTGTGTGTGTGTGTGCACGTGTGCACACATGCACACATAAATCTGATTATCTTATCCTAAAATATGTCATTATGATAAAGAATATGCTTTTCTATTCTGTATAGTGGAAAGAACACTTAATGAAATATTATGTATGTATGTATGTATTTATTTATTTATTTATTTTGTCAGTCATGGGGCTTGAACTCTGGGCCTGTGCATTGCCCTTCAGCTCTTCAGCTCAAGGCTAGTGCTCTACCACTTGAGCCACAGTGCCACTTCCAGTTTTCTGAGTGCTTTATTGGCTTTGAACTGTGATCCTCATATCTTAGCCTCCTGAGTAGCTAGGATTAGAGGCCTGAGCCACCTGTGCCTGGCTAGCATTTACTTTTTAGCTGCTTGCTCCATGAAGGAAGTTATCTGTGAGTTCCAGACTTGGAACACCTAGGTAAATGTTTATTACATCATGGTGAAGGTCATTACCATCATAATGATTATTTTGGAGGGTGGGGACATGGCAGAACTCTTGCATCCTGCTCTGGTGGGAGAGATTCTTTGATTACATGCAACCAAGATGGGAAGCAAACAGAACAGTAGTTGGAGTGCTCTCTCCATTACTGTAAGTCAGAATACAAACATCCTAGGGCTCTGAGATAAACCCTGCCTCGTGATAACCCTCACATCGAGCTACCCCAGCTATACTCTTAGCACGGCAAATAAGCCAGGTCATTAGCATCCCTCCTCCATCCAGGTGTCCAGTAACACTTACTGGGCTTCACTGGGTCTTTTCTGGAAGGAGACCAAAGAACACTAAGTCATTTTCTCCCCTGCTTCCTGTGAAATGCTTAGTGTTCAGGGCCAGCAAGAAGATAGGACCACATGGGAGTTCTTTGGTTCTGCTGATGAGCCTGGCAGAAGGACACACTGCCACAAAGACCATGGGGCTACAAGAAGCAAATTGTAGGGCAGGGATGAAGAATGGGTACTTATAATCAGCTGACCTGGAAGCTCGATGCTCAGAACTGATTATTAGTCAAGTTGGTCCATGGATTCTAATTGCTAAGGATTTACTAATCCCAATGGAGAAGGAAAGGGAGAGAATTAATTGCTAGGAAGGCTTTGGCTCTCTTTACCTCAGGAGGAAGCCAAATTGTCCTCTTATGATTTCTAAGTTGCAAGGATTCTATAAGTTACAGACACATTTTTTAAAATTTGGTGGTGTTCTGTGGTTTGAACTCAGAGCCTGGGCAATGTCCCTGAGCTTTTTTGCTCAAAACTAGCACTTTACCACTTAAGCCACAGCTCCACTTCCAGCTTTTTGGTGATTAATTGGAGATAAAGATCTCACAGGCTTAATGGCTGGACTGGCTTTGAACTGCCATGCTCAGATCTCAGCCTCCTGAGAAAATAGGATTATAGGTGAAAGTCATTTGCACCCAGCTCTATTTTTAATTTATAATGTTATTTTGAAATTTTAAAAAAATTATCCTTTTATTATCTTTTGATAACAATGCATCTTTTTGTAACTTTTAACTTTTAAGTAGTTGTACAAAGGGCTTTCAGTTCCACAAGTCAGATTATGAGTACAATCCATCATAACCACTGTCATTCCTTCCATCATTGTCTCCTAAGTCTATCCTAATGCCACCCTCCCCCCAACTTACTTAGCTCCATTTTCACATATATACATTGAGGATTGTCATTGTACATTTTATTTATTTTATTCTATTTTTATGAGGTCTCCATGGCTTGAGCTCAGGGCCTAGGGGCTGTTCCTGAGCTTTTTTTCAAGGCTAGCACTCTACCACTTGAGCTACAGCTCCACCTCTGGCTTCTTGTAGGTTAATTGGAGATGAGTGCTGCAGTTAATCAATTCTTCAGTATCAAAAACATATGTGTCTATGACCTATATGCTACAGTTTTGAGTAGACAGAAGTCTTGACTTTGGAACCTTTGCCATGGACAATTACCGACCTTTTGTAGAATTTGGCTATGCACATTCTATCTCCAGCACAAAGAACAGACACTCCCATTTGCTAAATGCACTTTTTGTGTGTGCCTGTACTGGGGCTTGAATTCAGGGTCTGGGTGCTGTCCCTGAGCTGTTTTGCTCAAGCCTAATACTCTAGGCTTGAGCTCTAGGCTCTAGGTGGAGCCACAGCTCTACCTTTCATGCCTTTGGTGATTAACTGGGGATAAGATTCTCATAGACTTTCCTGCCTGGGATGGCTTTGAACTATTATTCTCAGATCTCAGCCTTCTACACAGATAGAATTACAGATATGAGCCACTGGAGCCTGGCCACTAACTGAACTTGACTTGGAATGTTCTCAACATGAGTTCACCTGGACAGAAACATATTGTAAGTCAAGAATGTGAATGTCAAAGGTATTTTCCAAATGCAGACATCTGGTTTTGCTATTTCTTTGAACCCACAGATCAAAATAGATAACCTTAATATGGATGGCATGTTGCTTTGCAGGCCAGGAACCAAAGAGCTTTCTTGATGTCCCTGTTCCTCAAACTGTAGACGAAAGGGTTCAGCATGGGACTGATAATGGTGTACATCACAGAGACCACCATCACCTTCCTGGGGGTGTCTGAAAGTACTGAACTGCAATATGCAATCATGCCTGTCCCATAAAACAAGCACACGACAGATAAGTGAGAGCCACAGGTGGAGAAGGCTTTGTATTTCCCATTGGTTGATGGGACTCCAAGAATGGTAGAAACAATTTGGATGTAAGAATAAAGGATTCCTGAGGCTGGAATCCCTCCAAAGACTGCACCAACCAGATAGATGAAGATATTTTTAGTGGGAATATAATCACAGGCAAGCTTCAGGAGCTGAGAAGGGTCACAGAAGAAACTAGGAATTTCTACATCTTCACAGAAATTAAGTTGTGACACTATCCAGCAGTGTGCCAGGGAGTCCAACAGACTGAGGCACAGTGACAGTAGGACTAACAAGCCACAGAAGCAGGGGTTCATAATGATGGGGTAGTGTAGAGGGTAGCAGATGGCCACCAAGCGGTCATAGGCCATAACAGCCATCTGCAGACTGTCCAAACATCCAGAAAAGATAAAAAAGGCCACCTGTGTTAGGCAGCCAGCATAGCTGATGGATTTGCTATGAGTCTGGAGGTTCACCAGCATCTTGAGGACAGTGCTACTGCTGAAGCCAATGTCAGCAAACGACAGGATGGAGAGGAAGAAGTACATGGGGATGTGGAGGTGGGAGTCAGAGGTGACAGCCAGGATGATGAGCAGATTTCCAAGCACAGTGATCAAGTACATGGACAAGAACAACCCAGCTAGGATGGGCTGAAGTTCTAGGTCATCAGAGAGTCCCAGGAGTCGGAATTGTGATAGTCCTGTGTAGTTTAGGGGTTCCATGAAGCATTCACACCTTATGGTAAAAGAACCCCACACATTATTGGAGTCAAGAAAGGAACAAAAAGGCAATCAACAATATGCATTGTAAATTCAATCAGCTCAAAATCAACTATTCATATTTGAGCATTGCAATGATTTGGGTAAGATGGAAATGCATCCTCAAAAGGCCATGAGATATGAGGTACATATTGAGAAAGATGATATGGATCCCTCAAGAATTGGAATCCTGAACTCATGGACAGCTCAGTTTAATGTTTCTACATTACACCTAGGGTCCTGAGTTACACCATAACCGTGCAAAGAAGAAATAAAACAGAAAGGAAAAGAAAAAGAAGAGAGTCATAATTACAGAGAGAGGATAGAGAGAAAAAAAGAAGAAAGGAAGAAAAGAAATAAGGAAAGGTTGAAGGGAGAAGGAAGGAAAAAAGAGCTTGAGGGAGGAAGGGAAGCAAAGAGAGAAGGAAGGAATGAAGGAAGGAGGGAAGGAAGGAATGAGGGGAGAAAGGAAGGAAGGCAGGCAGGCAGGAAAGAAAATGACTGGCTGAGAGAATAAAATATGAGTTCATCCTATCATATGATGAGCTGGTAGAGGAAGCTAGTGTCATGAGAAACAGGATGAGTGACAGAAGTCACCAAATATTTGAAGTCCAGAGTACAATTTATTCTCATCACCCTTTATGTCCCTGTCACTTGGTAAATTTACATTCATTTGCAAATCTAAGACTAGGAGCCGGTTTTTTTCCTTTCTTTTTCCTCCCTTCCTTCCTTCCTTCATTCCTTCCTTCCTTCCTTCCTTCCTTCCTCCCTCCCTCTTTCCCTCCCTCCCTCCTTCTTTCCCTTCCTTTCTCCCTTCCTTCCTTCCTTCCTTCCTCCTTCCCTCCCTCCCTCCTTCCTTCCCTTCCTTTCTCCCTTCCTTCCTTCCTTCCTTCTTTCCTTCCTTCCTTCCTTTTTTCTCTCCTTTTTTCTCTCTTTCTTTCTTTCTTTCTCTCCTTTTTCGTATTTGTTTCAGCAGAGAATTACATGGTAAGTGATTTTCTAGATCCTAAATAAATACATATGTTGGAATTGTAAAAATGACAATTGTCAAAACTACAATGTCAACAAGAGAAATCTTCCATACTGTTATTATATACCCATATACAGACACAGAGATGAATTAAATTTATTCTGATCTTTTTTTAAAGAATAACACATGATGAACCAACCAGTCACTGGTGGCTCACACCTGTAATCCTTGCTACTCAAGAGGCCAAGAGCTAAAAATCAAGCCACCCAGGCAATAAAATCGATGCGACTCTTATCTCCAATTAATCACCCCCAAAATGGAAGTGAAGCATGACTCAAGTGGTAGAACACTATCCTTGAACAAAAAAGCCAAGGGACAAAGCCCAGGCCTTGATTTCAAGCCCCAAGACCAGCATACATATAACAAAAGAAGGTAACACACAATGAACAGGTAATTCTAATTGTGGAAGTAGAAAATTTGACATAAAAATTGTTAACATAATTTACTATATCATGCCAATGAATAGAATTCATGGTCAATTATATTTGAGAAAATGTAACAGCCATGGTTAGTAGCCAGAAATGAGAATGTTGGTAAAAGAAACAAAAGACAATTTCCTATCCCACTTAAGAGCAATTATTTTTAAACCATATCGACTAGAGGACGCTAAAGCTAAAGCCATGACAGTATGTATGTTTAGAGCAGTCTTCTCCAGCTACAATCATTCTACACTTCTCCGCAATTTTTTTTTTGTCTGTTGTGGGGTCTGAACTCTGAGCCTGGGTGCTGTCTCTCAGCTCTTCAGCTCAAAGCTAGCGCTCTACCACTTGAGCCAAGCACCACTTCAGGCTTTTTCTGCTTATGTGGTGCTGAGGAATCAAACCCAGGGCCTCATGCAAGTGAGGCAAGCACTCTACCACTGAGCCACCTTCCCAGCTCCTTCTCTGCAATTTTTAAACAGATTAGAAAATATCTGAAAAGGAAATTAAACTGAGTCTGAATGTCAGTAATTATAAGGTTAATAATAATAACAATAACAACATCAGGTAAATGCTAGTGTGAACATTAGTATGAATTAATAATTGCAAAGCAGTAATAATGACTGTTTTTTAAACCTGTCCTGGGCCTTGAACTCAGGGTCTGGTTTCTGTTGCTGAACTTTTTATTTGCTCAAGACTGGTATTCTACAACTTGAGCCATAGCTTCACTTCTGGATTTTTTTTGGTGCTTAATTAGAGCTTAGTCTCGTTGATTTTTCTGCCCTAGGCTGGCTTTGAACCACTACCCTTAGATCTATACCTCCTGAGTAGTTAGGATTACAAGCATAAGCCACCAGTACCCAGCCAAAGACTCTCTTAAAGTCAAATTTTCCAGTATAACTAGTTTTAGGGACTATAAAAAGAAAAATCCAATCATACTTGGAAGAAAAAAATAGACAATACTTTGTGCATTGTAGATCTTCAATGAAGAAAGAGTTCATTTAAAAAATAATGGAACTTGATAAAACTTACAGGAGAATGCAATGCATATAGTAGAGTGGAAGAGTTAAAGACACCCTAGAATATAAATTTTGAGAGAAAGGCTGCAGAAGAATGAAAAAAGACAACAGAAAAAAATATATGAAAAAGAATGGACTCAATGACTGCTAAAGTTCCCTGTTAACTGCTTAGAGACTTCCACTTTATAGAATAAACCATACATGGTGCTACCTACCTGTATTCCCAACTATGTAGAAGGTAGATGTAGGAAGATTGTGAGTTCAAGGCTAGTGAAGGTAAAGTTAGACTCTAACTCAAAAACAAAACATTTCCAGGCACTACTGGCTCACACCTGTAATCCCAGTTACTCAAGAGACTCAGATCTGAGGATCATAGTTCAAACCTATCCTAGAGATGAAAGTCTGCAAGACTTTTGTCTCTAATTAACCAGCTAAAAGTCATAAGTGGAGCTGTGGCTCAAGTGCTAGCCTTGAGCAAAGTAGCTCAGGAGCCGGCAGCACCATGGCACTGTGTTCAAGTCCCAGTAAGCACACACACACACACACACACACACACACAGTTAAAACAGATATATCCTACAAAATAAAAAAGTGAGGTAAGAGGTGGGTAGGGAAATGTTGAAAGGGGTGACATTCGACAAGGTATTTAGTATTCATAAACTGCTGTGTTAAATAGCCACTCCTTTGTACAAATACTTAAAGATAATTTAAATTTTTTTTAAAATAGCTTCCATGTAATTCATCTACTTGATATAATCCTACAATTTTTCAAAAATAAATTCTTCATGAAATTAAAAGAAAAACAGATGGGACATAGTTCAAATGGTAGGATGTTTGCCAGGCAAGCATGACACACTGGATTCAATCTCCTGAATTATAAAAATAAATCAACAATTGTAAATAAAGAAATAGTCATTATTCCATTCACATTGTTCTGGAGGAGTTAAACCAAGGGCATACTTCCTCTCTTTTGTGACTTACTCTCTGGCTCTTACTGGCAGAGAACAAGCTGTCTCCAGAATTTATCCTCGAGTTTTTCCCTCTGGTTGAAATAATCCTAGCAAGAGAGACTACAGGTTCTTTGTATGGAGCATGAGATTAGACATGTACAGAGGCACAAGATGCATTGTTAAATTTCCATCTGACTCAAGGTTGGAATTCCCAGAGCTCCTCATTATGATTAAATTGTCCTATTGTGTCTCCACTCATCAAACAATTTAGCTCCCTGGTGATAAAAAAGCAAACAAACAAAAAAAATGTAGAGTGGAGAGTAGCCAGTCATGTTTGTGTTCATTCAGACTGTGGTTTAGGAAGAGATGTAGATTTATTTCCTTGAAGGAAAAAAGAAAACTCTTTTTGTCTCCAAGGTTTGATTTAATAGTCACAAAAGGTCTCCTGATTTTAACAATGATTCAGTTCCAGAAAAAAGAAATCTCTTTTGTCAATTTTCTTTTGAAACATTTGGAAGATCTTATAGACAATTTCAAATGTACACTATTGAAGATCTTTAAAAAAAATTCCATTAACAGTGAGTAGGGATGAGAGGAAAAAACCCCTCTGTATATCACCTTTATAATAACAATGAAAAAAATTTTTGTTGGTCATGGGGCATGAACTCTGGGCTTGTGCACTGTTTCTGCACTCTTCAGCTCAAGATGAGTGCTCTACCACTTGACCCACAGCACCACTTCCAGTTTTCTGGTGGTTTATTGGAGATAAGAGTCTCATGGACTTTTCTGCCAGAGCTGGCTTTGAACCACGATCCTCAGATCTCAGCCTCCTGAGTAGCTAGGATTACAGGTATGAGCCACTGACACCCAGCCTTTTAAACTATACTAATTGCATTTTTACAACTTATTCATATTTCAAATTAGTTAGTCTACTTAGGTTCACAAATTGATCCAATGTATTGTGTATAATGAGATATGTAAGCTATTTTAGTGAGAAAGTAGTTACATTGTTCCCTCTAAAATCAGGAATGAGACAAGGATGCCCACTCTCTCCACTCCTTTTCAACATAATGCTGGAATTCCTAGCAAGAGCAATAAGGCAAGAGAAACACATAAAGGGGATTCAAATAAGGAAAGAAGACATGATCTTGTGGATGACATGATCCTGTGTTTAAAGAACTCTATAGATTTTTCACCCACGCTACCTGAGTTGATTCAAAACTTTGGCAAAGTAGAGGGGTGTAAAATCAACTCACAAAAATCAGTAGACTTCCTGTATGACAGCAATTAGAAAAGCAATGCTGAAATCAGGAAATGAACTCCATTTTGTAATAGTCTCAAAAAATATACTTAGGGATTAACTTAACCAAAGATGTAAAGGACCTCTATTGTGAAAACTTCAAAACTCTGAAAAACAGTGAAGCAGACTTAAGAAAATGGGAAAACCTCTCATGCTCTTGGTTGGGGAGAATTAACATAGTAGAAATGGCAATTCTGCCAAGAGCAATATACAAATTCAATGCAATACTCATCAAATTCCCAACAA